ACTGGCGACGTGGTAGTACGACTGTAGTACGCGGAGTAGCTGGGGAGCGTGGCAGTACGACTGTAGTACTCGTTTCGCGTTTCGTTTCGTTTCGTTTCGCGTTTCGTTTCGTTTCGTTTCGCGTTCGTTCCAGCTGCCTCTCTGCTGCCAACCCTGTATGACGCTTCCATCGCCGACAATGCAGCTCTGCTGGGCAGTCCGATTGCAGCACGCCTCCACGTGTCGTATCTCTCTCAGTACACACATGCAGACACATGCAGACACCCACACACGCAGACACCCACGCACTGCCTCAACTTACACGAACACACACATACACAGACTCACATACACACGGACATAGACACACACACAGAAACCCACACGACACTACCTCAACTCCCTCGACTTAACACTTCACACTGCACACTTAACACATAACTCACACTCTGACATCCTACGTGATGAAAAATGCTTTCGGGCCACTCGTCGTCTAGTTGTTATAGGAATTCTTGGAAAAGACATATAAGAACAGAATCATATTATGTATTGGGCAAATTTTGTAGATACTGTGTTAAAGATTTACCAATTGTTATTTTTGAAGATGGATTGAAGACTTGTAAGACATGCTTGGAATACAAGAGAAAGAACTATGACAAACATAACGATAAATTGAGTGAAACACGAAGAACTAAATATAGAGAACATGAAAATATATAAAAAAGAAACAGGAACAAATACAATACCATCGTGATAAAGTCGCCTTTTGTAATGTATGCAATTCATCAGTGAAGGCACAATGTTATTCAAGACATTTAAAAACAGAGAAGCATAAAAGGAATTTAGCAACGGTTGATGGACAGGATTTTGTAAAATGAATAAGGTAACAATGCTTTTGACTGCTATGATTTTGAAAAATGAATGAGGTAAGTATGCTTTGACTGCTATTTGTGTTTGACTGCTATGATATTGAAAAATGAATGAGGTAAGCATGCTTTGACTGCTATGATTGTGAAAAATTGAATGAGGTAATTATGTTTTGATATTGTCAAGAAAAATGAAGCAATCAAGAATATTTAAGCTGACTTTTTGGGCTGTTATGTTGTTTTGAATAAATTTTGATTTGTTATACTGCTATGATATTAGTTTAGAAAACTTAACTCAATCAACTCTTTTACATTTTTTCACCTGACCTCAAGAGGATGGCTGACTTCATGTCAGTGGCCAGCTTCCCTCCTCCAAGCCTCTCGCACTGCGTGAAAAGCAGATTCATGGTCCTGTTGCGTGCCTGTGGCTGGCAGTTCTCCAGGAGTTGTCTGAGGGCCTCATAGCCGTTGAACTTATCGATGTTCTTGATGACTCCCACTAGCCGGCCCTGCGCCAAACCTCCAAGGAGCGAGTAGAGGAACCGGCTCCTTTGCTGCTCTCCATCTGAAAGGAGGTCCCAGTCGAACTCGGTGTGGGGGCTTGATTCCATCTTCTCTATCTCATCCTGATAGGCCTCATCTACCACCACCAAATACTGCTTGAGGCTCCAAAGCCAGTCTCGCCACTGCAGCACTTCTTGTTCACGGTCTGCTGGATTAAAGACTGGTGGCCTTGGAATGAGCTTTGCCAGGTCCTTCTTCAGCACTCCAGGCTCGGCTCCACTCGAAGATGTGGTGTGGATCGCTGAGACCTGAGCAGCTTGATTTGCCACCAGCGAAGCAGCTTGGGCAGCACCGATCAAAGCTTGAGTAAGCTCTGTCATTGCTGGGATTCGCTGCCATCATCATTGGATCTCCCCCAGATCCATCCATAGCTCCTCACCTTCGTGCCTCTCTCCACGTCAAGGACTGCCTCAGGCTTTAGGATGTTGTTCCACCTCCAAGTCCTCAACCAATCCAGGCAAGTCAGGATGGTGAAGCTCGATCTGGGTGGTCAAGTAAGCTCAGGCAGGGATTGCGAGATCGATGCAACACTAGTTCTATGGTCGCTCGGCAAGGGCGCAAGTGAAAACGAAGCTAGGGATCCGCCCTGGAGCTCCAGTGAGACCACTTGGGATCACCTTCTCGGCTCCGCTACCATGCGGATAGTGCGGTCTTTTGCACCTAAGGGCCTGTGGGTAAGTGTGCATGCTGTACGTGTATGAGAATGCTCAAATTGCGCAATAAAGCATGCTAGCTCCCTGATGTAAAGTTCAAACGGGACACATCAGACCTGGTGCATAGTTCTTTGCTCCAGTTAGTTTTCGAATAAAAGAAAACCAACTAACAAGACACAAACACCCTTTGCTAAGGTTGTCCACTGTGTTGATTGCTCCCAAACCCTGAAATACATGTAGCATACAACCGTTGAAGCAGTCTGAAAGAATGGGCACTGGCATAGGTCATATGTGAGCCAAATGTTCACTCCAAATGAGCCCACACGTTCAATGCCATCAAGAATGCAAATGACCAAAGTCTTTGTACTTTTACCCTTTTTGCATGCTTGCTCCTTTTCTCCATATAAGTCCACTGGCGAGATTAAAGACCCAACGCCAGGCATCCCAAAGTTCACAAATTTGCAAACTATCGGCTCAGGTAAAACTGCTAAACAAAGATCCCACGAAGGCCCCCTTTTTCAAATTTATTGTGAAGTGGCGAACTTGAAACAGGCAAGTCTCTTGATCTTCCAGCACTTTGTAGCACCACAACTACGATGTGGCACCCTGGAGTGCGATCACATCTGTGGCGGGGCACATCCAAAATTTAATAGATGTTGCAATTGCTCATGTGATTTCGGCGTTGATTTGGCAAGAAATTTTTGTCATTGCAAGAGCAGCTCGGATACCAAATTGTGGCCCATTATGATTTGGCTGGGCTGGTTGCATGCCATTCAATTGTGTATCCCTGTTATTTGGTTCTGTCCCTGTTTCGTCTTGATTCATGTTACTGTATGTGTATATATGATATATATATATATATATGTGTGTGTGTATACATCACTCTTTGTCAACGGGCAGTACGTGCGTCTGTTATGTGCAATCTGGCTGCAGGTCATAAGATTGATTGAATATATGCTCTGCGTTGTGTACCAGAGCAAAATGCTAACCATGTCAAGTCAGGATTCTACACTTTCACTTACAACTTGCCTGACAAGGCTGCCACGCAGCCATCGCTGGTGCTTTGGTTTCGGTAGAACAAACCTGAACGCTTCGTTCGCTAAGCTTTGCTAGGGTTCGCTTCGAAAGTTTGTTGAACTGGATGTTTGCTGCTCATGTCTAGCGGTTGTGAGGTTGATGGCGCATTCCAGTGCGATTGGGCTGCAAATGCATGACCTTGCCGTGGAAAGGGTTGATTGAAATAGAAATGTGATTTCATCTCTAGCTTGAGCCGAGGCCATGAATTGTGTCAGAAGCAAGAACCTGCCGTTTTCCCCGCAACTCTAGGGGCACTTGTGCTCAAAGCTGGCCCATGCAGAATCTAATGCAACCTTGCATTCTGGCGGACTCACAGAATACATATCACTTGAAAACACCAAAAACGATCAAAACAATGGTCCTAAAATGTTGTTTATCCAAGCATGAGTGTATTGGCCCCCAGCAAGTGCAGAGCGCAGTTCTGATCTTGCTGGTCGGTGTGCTCTTGCCTGTTTGCTGCTGGTGATTATTGAGTCTACACAGTGAACTACTGTACATCAACTATACCGTATTCTGCGGACCCAAAAAGACATGAAATACCGCCTCTGAGTTCCAGCGTTCAAGTAGCACAGCCAAGTCAGCCCAGCATCTCTGCAGTGCCTCAAATCTGTTCCTTTGAGCACTTTAACAGGAGAAAACAGAACCTTTTCAATATTCAAGGGCTTAGTCTGCAATGGTTTCATCCTAGCTTCAAACATCGTTACCATTGGGGAAGAATGCCTCAGCTTCCTTCAAATAAGCACATCGGCAAATCCGTCTCCACTAGATACAGCTAGCAGCTAGTCTTAATGTGAAAGAGCAGGTAGCCTCTGCACGGCGCATTGCTTCTGCGCTGAACTCGAACTGTCATGTCATACAAAAGCGGACTCTGCAATGTCTGTCCACACATCAAGCCATGTACAACTGCCAGAGGCCTTATCCCCGTTGACCCAAATAACCGCATACTGCTCAACACTTGCCTCGAGGCTCTGCTTTAAGCATCAGATTGCGAAATCTGGAACACTGGGGCACGCACTTCAAGAACATCTACTCGATAGTTGCGAGCCTTTCATCAAGCACAGAATTCACAACACCATACAACTGCCAGTGTGCTGGTGTAGCTGCCGAACTTGGTAGGTCAAATGGCTCTCACAGCATCATCTAGAAATTGCGCAAATCTATCAATCTCCTCTCCAAAACCAATTGCCCAGAGCAAACAGGTCCAACGAGTCTACACAATTGATGGCTCAGTGCGAGAAACTTCGTCTGGAAAAAGAGCTCGATAGTTGATGGTGAAAGAAGCCCGGTACCTTCCGGGAGAATTGAAACACTGATTTCATAGTAGTATTAAGGTTTCAGTGCCACAAAAGCAAAAAAATGCCTACCAACATCAGCAAGAAAGTACCCACAGGTCTAAAATTAAGTTGAACAACTCAGGAAATGATCAGATATCCAATCGGGTTCAGAGCACTTTCTTGGCGCCGCATCAAGGTGCATCGCCTCAGGTTTTTTTGCAAACTTGTTGGGTGACCGCAATACTGGAGAGGGATGCTATTTCCCTGCTTTCCAAGATCCAAGCTCTCTCGGTTGCGTCAAGGCATTCCAAAAATAAAGCGCATGAATTGAACCCAGCCTGTCAACATTGCAATTGAAACGTTGAAAAGGTTCTCTATTGATTGTTGCTGACCTCACTCTTTGTGTTGACACGGCCACCCTCCACAACCAGGCGACTGTGAGCCGAAGCCAACCTGATCACTGCAGCCTGGGCATCTTGCGCGATTCTGCTTGCCAAAACCCACACAGCGACAGTTCGACAAAGGGTCCTCTTCGTGTGAAGTAAAAGCTTCACCATCTTTGGACCAAAGTTTTCTGAACATGACGGCGACAGGCAAACTCCTTCAGCAGAACAATTTCAAAAATCATCAAGGAAACATGGATAATTGAACACAAAACAAACAGCTAGCGCAGTCCTGCGACCACCATTGGCGGATCTGCAAGGTTGCCGCTAAAGCCCAAACACGCCGCAGTCACGAAGTTGCTAAAGGTTCTAGAAACAAAGAAGGTACGGTTTGCTTGAAACTTCCTCCAGTCAGTGCTACATTTTTCTAACTTTGAAAACCATCACTTAGAACATACCAAAACCCCTGCACTTAGAAGATTACCGGTGTGTTCTAAATGTACACACCTAACTCCGAAAACCCAACGTTTAGAACAATTTCAATGTTCAAAAGTGACTGCCATCCCCTGCAACTCAAAGCCAAGTGTTGTGGTTCATAGGCTTTTGGCAAACCGCTCCTTGAGCGTATAGCCAATAGTAATTATAGAACCTATGACACTATGACACCTGTAAAATGTTTGCCATGTTTTTTCTCATTATAGTCAAGGACAAGTAGTAGGCAGGAGCGGAACCTAGCCAAAAATTAAGCAGATAATTTCACCGGGCGGTAAATTTTAAAACCCCCTCACTCAAATCCTCTGCTTACTAGAGCTCCTCACTCAAGATGTATATATTTGTTTGCTTCTGGTTACTAGAGCTCCTCACTCAAGATGTACATATTTGTTTGCTTCATAGTTGCTATTGCTTTGCTTTGACTAATGTTCCTTAATCCTTGTTCCTTACTAAGTTTCCTAGGTCCTTTGGGTCCTGTCCTACTACCTGTCCTACTACTGGCAAATAAAAGGAGAAGAAAGGAAAAGGAGAAGGAATTGTTATTTATCAATGCATTTGTCGTCTCGTCCAGCACGTGCTGCAGTAGTAAGCAGCAAGCATTCATGCCTACTACCCTGCAAAGTATCAGACGTGAGTCCAACGGCTGTTTTCATTCAATCCCGGTCCCCATATATCGCTGGATGCTCATGTGTCCCAATTACATGAGCAACTGCGCAGTGTGCCCACTGGTGGGCTTGTAGTATAGGATCCGAGGGATCACACATGGCGGGTGCTAGAATCAAAGACAAAAAAAATGTGTCCTCAAATCATTTTATCCCGACGTCATAGTCTTGTCCCATTTCTTTGAATGTGTATGTATGTATATATATATATACATATCTCGATAAAGGCTTTCACAAGATAGCACCCAACATGTTTGATAGGCACAATTTTCTGCTTACTATATACCCCTTGAGCCTGGCTGACCAAATCTAGGCTTACACATAGGTCCGCTCAAAAACCCCAAAAAAACAACCCCGAGCAGCTGTGGTGAGCAGGATTTTTTCTGCCTACTGGCTGTCCGTGACTATATATCTGTTGTAAGTGGGTGTCCGTTACTATAAAATGTCAAACAAAAGTATGATCGGGAAACCCATCCGTTGTTTGGTCTTGGTTTGCCCTTCAAGATCCATGCGGTTTTTGAATCAAATGCAATGCAGTTCATCTCGTAACGTATTCGGACATTTGAGATGGAAGTCGATTTCCGGAACCCATCCATTCCAGACATGAAGCCAAAACTTGCAGCGGCACCCAGTTGAGCCCTGCGGAGGCTTGGGTGAAGAGTTCTTGTTCATGGTCATGGATGAAGCACATCACATGTTTGGGTCACAGACCGGTTGGCGCAGCAAGAGCTGCTTCAGAAGGTCCCGGCCCAACAAAAGCTGCTGGCATGTTGCCATGCCCGTTCGTTCGCAACATGTGTGTCACCTCCTCAAGCCGTTCAGCTCGTTCGTCCCCACTAAAAAGTGTGCAATGTGTTCAAAGGACAAACGAAAGGACACAATGATGTTGCACAATTCAGAAAGCTGGATCAGACACAACAATTTGGGGTTGAGTGGGGTGGTTTTCAGTCGGTGTGAGGTCCATAAGCAGAAAGTCTAGGGATCTAGACGATTGGGGTCCAGAAAGTGATGATGGTGATGAAAGTGGGGATCGTGTTGACGGTGGCGGTGGTGGTGAGTGAGTGAGTGTGACGGTGAGTGTGAATTTGAGTGAGAATGAGAGTGAGAGTGAGAGTGAGTGTGGACAGTGAGAGTGAGTGTGAGTGAGAGTTGAGGTGGGTGTGAGTGAGTGTGGGTGAGAGTGAGAGTGAGTGTGAGAGTGGAGAGTGAGTGAGTGGGAGAGTGGGTGAGACGGGTGAGAGTGAGAGTGAGAGTGAGAGGGAGAGTGAGTGTGAGCGTGGATTGATTGTGAATGTGAGTGAGAGTGAGCGCAAGCGTCCTGCGAAGAAAAAACTGCGCCTGCCACGAAACCTGCACATCGAGGTTCACCAAGTGAAATGTTGATGTTGAACACCTGCTAGGAAGAACAGATGAACAAACATTTATGTTGTCGCCCTTCTTTATGGTGTTGTTGGATGCGTGGCGTACGGGTGGAACAAGCGACGGATCCCGCCTTTCAAAGCGGTTGAATCTCGCTTGTTTCTTTCGCTTGTCGTTTGAATCGCAGACTATTGTCAGTGGGAACGAAGGAATTTTCCGTGAAAATTTGACACACAAACTAACGAAAAAGAAACCTTCCTCGCAAGCTCTCAGCGTGAAAAACTGTCTTGTAAGTCAAGTGTACGCACGACGACCGAGCCGAAAAAAAAGAAACAAGAGAAAACACACTCGCAACGCGCCTTTTCTGCCGCACACTAGAGCCAAATATGTTCCGTCGTAACACATGCACAAAACCTATGGAATATATTCCCATAGTCCTCAACTGTTCTGTGAGCACTCAAAAGCATCTCCTGACTGCTCAAAAACACAAAAAACGCTGCCCCACTCGCTTCTCTACAAACACCTAGGTCTGCATGGTGCACAGGTCATCTTTAACTACGTTTGAGTGAATCTCCTGGTGAAAGAACAGAGAAACAAACACAAACACACACCAACAAAACCCAACCAAAACAAAAACCGGACCCCAAAAACACGAAAGAAAGGGAGATTCGCTCTGTACATGCAAGGTGAAACGACGGTGAAACACATTGACTGCTATGTAGTTGGGCAACGAATTCTGGTATGAGTTTCGAAGTGAGTTTCCCATTTTGCTTTAGCAAAAATGAACTATAGCCAGAGTGGAGGCCTATCTCATTGAGAATTGCCCTCCGACATTTCATTTTAGAGGCCCCCGCCGTGGCAGGGAATAATTGGTATGATGCGATCGAACTCTTTTGGATGATTCTTGCAAGGATGTTGAATGTGTGGCTACTGCTACTTGCTTCATTTTCCTTTTTGTGCACAAAAGGGGGTTGAGATGGCGCTTAAGGGATGGTTCAAGGAAGGGAAAGGGATAGGTTTTAGGGGGGATTGAGCGCGGGATAAGGGGAGCTTCAAGGCTTGGGGCAGTGGAATGCATGAAGAATCTCAACGCATTGGCAAGGGTATTCAATTAGACTGCCCACACTGCCGTATACTTCGCAAGGCACACCAGAAGCTGTTCTCTAGGCTTCAAGGCTTGGCTAGTTGGGCTAGTGTGTAACACACTCTTTTTTGATATGGGGCAAGTGGGGTCATAGATGCCTAGGTGCAAATTGACTGCAGCTCCTTTGGCTCACAGCCAACACCGCCTCTCTCGGAGCCGTTGCATGTTTGTGCATGTTGTTGCAGTAAACGTGCAGTCCACCCAAGTGGAGGGCACCTAGAGACGTGATACGCTTTGACTGCTCCTGCCTTCCATTATTGTCCGGCACGAGCCGCGGCTTGCACCCATCCCAAGTTGGGGGCTTGCCTTCGAACATAGTCCGTCTGAGCGAGTCGGTCTTTGCAGAGAGTACGTAGCAGGCCTCCACAGGACACCATGGACTATGATCCCTGGGCGGTCAGCAGTGAAGACGGAGCAGCCGATGTGCAGGATAACGAACTAGACCTCACAGACTGTTTTGCAGATGAAAGTGTGCCAGCTACGCCCTACATCCTGGCTGGATCACACAAGCCAAGGCACGCGTGTTTATTCATGGGTGCAATAGGCCCACAAACGAGGTGTACGCACAGGCATATAGGGCACTAAGAGCACCAAATGTAGTGGAGCCACACTTGGGCATGGACCGATCCTTGGGACAATGTCGAATTGACGACGTCCGTTCACAGCCGACAGACAGGGACGAAGGATATGAGTCTGTCGAGCAGTCGGGACGGGGCCCCAACTACCTTGAGGTCATCCAGTGTCTCCTGCAATTTCGAGACCGCATTAGTCAAGCTGATTATGGTCTACCTCATCGTAGATAACCGTGCCCCAGGGGACGTTCCGCATTGGCCTGCGTTTGAGAAATGGTGGCTTTCACGTCGTCAGTTGGTTGGACCACATCAAGAACAAACTGACCTCCTCTGGATCACTGCCAGTCAACGAACCGGGCTCCGTGACGTCCCATACTATTGGGCTGGAGTGTTTGTTCTCGAAGTTGCCAGGTTTTTTTACCCCCGACAACACTTTGGATTGGTAGACAATGACTGTGTTCCGGTCACTCTGTTTGAAATGCCTGACCTGATCGCTCTAGCCACCAACCAAATGCAGTGGACTGATTTAGTGGGGATCGCTTCTGATGACCCAAAGCACACGAGGCCTCCTACTATAGTCACAGAAGCGCACCTGGAATACAATGCAGGTCTCGTCGTTTCGTTCGGAAGCCAGTGTCGACCGAGCCCAATCACCCAACACTCCACGGCGGAGATGCTCGCTGACGAGCTTGCCGACTATCGCTCCCAACTGCTGGCTATGGCACGGCCCCCTGAAAACCCCACAGGTCCTCCCAGCAGGGAACCATGTTTGCCCCATTAGTAGGAGTGCCCATGGAAAACTCCCTCGACCTTGTCATTGTGTGGGCCATGTATGGCACCTACATGTGCAAGACATTCTGGCCAATGCCATCGACACCTCATCACCCAAACACCACAACCTCAGAGCCACACTCGATCAAGTGGCCCAAGAAGGCACACCCCGGGGCCTTGTCCGAGACAGGCCCGGAGCGCACGCCGTGGCTCACCCGCTGGGCACGTGCCACTTTCGAGCAAGGGTGTCTGTCAGTTCTACCACACCTGGAAGGTCCATGCAAAGCCCTCTCCTTGCCCGGTGAACAGTTGTTTCAGGCCAGTCGCAT